CTTCCCCCTGGGCATTTCACCTCACCCACGCACCAACCCTTCAGATCCCCCCAGCCAGTCCCGAACAAAGTCGGCCGAGCCCAAATCCCACTAGCACGGTTGAGTTTCAGGAAACTCGGCGTGATTTTTTGTACATCTCCACAAATATGTCCAGATTCGGGCATTGGGGAAACTCAATGCTGCTAGTGTAACTTGGGCCGCGGTCACTTCAATAATGGTACCTTTTCTTCTCAACCAATTCAATTGCCTGTCAAATTTGGACAGGACGTCCATTTAGGCCTCTTTGTCGAGGAAAAGGTGGCTGGGGCGAGCGGGGCTTGATGGTGGGGGATTTCCTATACTAGTTTTTCTACTCCGTCTCTTCTTCTTCTTGATTTAGTGGCCTCCGGTTCGTTAGGCAGAGACTGAACTTTCTGTGAGGTGGCGTCAACAGGCTTGGCATAGTTACTCACGAGTCACAAGGCAATCACATAGGGCAGTGATAAGGATGTGATTGTGTCCTACCAAATCTCTTCTGGTCAGTGCAGCTTGCCAAGGGGCTGTATTAGCACGGTCTATGGGGAGGCGAACGTGCTCCTCCCACAGGAAGAGGAAGGGTCTGAGTTTGGACTCTACAGCGGCGGGGCAGCTGAATCATGGGATTGCAAGAGTGGAGCGCTGCGTGATGGATTGCACGAACTGAGATTTTTGGCGTTTCAAAACGACTTCACGCAGCGACGGGATCTCCAGTAATTCTTGAGGCATAACCTAATTTTGTTGTTGTTTTTTTTATTGATACGGGAACTTTTTAAAAGGTAATTTCTTGGATGGTAATTTTGTTTCTTTAGTTGATCTCAATCGGTAGTTCGTAATTTTTCTTATTGATTTCGTGATATGTTTTCAGAAGCGTTATGGTTTCTTTCGTACACAATTGATTGTCGATTCGTTTTTTTGCTTAGTATTTCCCGACTCAATTAATTGTCAATTTGTTTGTTTACTTAGTATTCCTGATTTACTGTCTGAGCGATTTCTTGAACCTTGGGTTCTGGAAATCAGAGTCGTAAGTCCGTTCGAACATCAGAATTGATTCCCTATTCTGTTTCCTATTTGGATTCTCAAATCTTATCAAATCGTATTTTCAATATTATCTTCATCGCGATTGATTTTCTGAATTTCCTGAATTTGATCATTAATTCATGATTCAAACTTCTTTTGATTCCGGATTTAGTGTCTGAGCGATTTCTCTTATTCCCATCTTACCTCTATGTCGATGAATTTTTTGAATTCGATGCTAATTAGTTTTCACTCAAGTAGTTAGTCTTGCAAGGGAGTCTCGACTGTGCTGGTGTGAGATTGGGGTCAGAAGTGCTGGAGTGGATATCTCCTTTAGGGTTGGAGTCCCTCCCTGCGAGGGTTACGCAAGGTGGGTGGTATGACTTTTGAGAGGGTAGGGACGGTATTGAGGGTTTGTCCTTCTTTGGGCCACGCTGATTTTTGGGTCGGATCAGCTATGGCGGGTGGGGAGAGAGGACAAGGGGTGCTGAAGTCAGCAGGGTGAGAGTTGAGAGGGTTGTTCCACTTGGAGGGGGTGGGGCAGGAAGATAGGGGGATCTTATGCTCTGGGGAGGCATACTCTAGGGGGTATTGTATGCGACCGAGGGAGCAAGAGGGGTATCCTAGTATGGGCTGTTTTGAACTGGGGCGGAGAGGTGACGGGACGCCTCCCTGTGGAGGCAGTAAACAAACAAGGGGTCGTTTTTTGGAGGAGGGGAGTAATGATCAGTAATCCCTTCGACTCTTGTGACCCCTTTTATATGTATTCGAGACTTGAATAGGCGCTGAAGTTTCCATGGGGAGAGAGGGTTGTTTTTCTCCCTCTCTCTCCCTTTCCATGTGGGAGTAGTGGGCGCTTAAATGTTCATGTGATCTTTCAAGATTTTGTGTGCTTGATTTTTCTTAATTTTTTGAAATTCTTGCTAGTTTTCAGTTGACACCGGATAGCAGGAAGGGGAAGATTGATCCTAAGGTAGTGGGTACGTGGGCAGAGGAAGGATTAGTGTTTAGGGGGTAGGTCTAATTAGAAGGGCGGGGTGGGGTGACAATGGTCGGTGATGGAGCGTAGGTGCTCTGTAACCAGGGGTGGAGCTTGAGACTATTGGAGCTATGCTGAGGGTGGAAGGCATAACCATCATGTTCAACGCAGCTGAAGTTGGGGCAGTGACCCTGTAACCTTGGGGGCTTTTTAGCTTAGGAAGTTATCAAGGGAGGAAAACATTTCCTGACCGTCAGAATTAGCTCGGTCGGTACTGGGGCAGTTGGTGTTGCCCTGTCATTCTAGCAGGGGGGGAATGAGACCTAACGAGTTATGGTGGGAGGACTGAACATCTGGGCTACAGTCTTTCCTCTGTGGTGCGAGGAGAGAGATGGAGTGTTGGTGGTTTTTGTTTTCCTCTCTTCCTGTTTTTAGGCCAATCAAACTTTTCTCGTAGGGAAGGAGAAGGTGAGAACTGAAAGATGGGAGGAAGCAAGGGGGGGTCAACATGGGAAGGGACGTTTGTCTAAGTAAGTAGGTGAGAAGGACAAAGTTGGGACGACGCAGACCGGTGATGGAGCTTTTGCTCTGTAACCTGGGGGAGCAAGAGGTCTGTGGAGTTATGTCGAGGGAGGAAGGCATAACCAGTTTGTCCGATGTAGCTGATGTCGGGGGCTTTTCCCTGTAACTTAGGGGCGTGTGGCTAATCGAGAGTGTCGAGGGAGGAAGGCACTCTTTGCCGTTTGAAACAGGTTGGTCGGTACTGGGGAAGTTTGTGTTGCTCTGTAACCCTAGCATAAGGGGGTATGAGATCAGTTGAGTTCTGGTACGAGGACTAAACGCTTCAAGTTGGACTTTAAGTTAACGTTTTTTCGCTTGTTAAAAGGGAGGTGTAAACAGTGGGAGGTTTTAGTTAGGATCTTTTGTTTCCAGGTTTGGATTGTGGTTGGGTAGATCATAGGCAGTTTTCTGAGAACTGCAGTTGTTTCTCATAGGTAATTGACTGATTGTTTCCCTAGCCGAAGTCGGGTAATGGCCCCAGAATTTCAAATGTGTTACATATTCTCAGTTGTACTTCAAAGGGACGTTGAGCCCGGTTCTCAGCACGTGATGCTCCCCACAAATAGATTGGAGTTTTTGCCCCCCCCCCAAAAAAAAAAAAAAAAAAAAAGGCCCCTTTTCTATCATTTTTAGTATTACGGGGAAGCAGCAGCCACATCCGCATTCAACGAGCGAACATGCCAGAACTGCACCCACCAGCAGGTGCAAAACCTGCTACAGCAGCTGGGTGATACCGGCTAGGGGTCAGCTCGTAGCATCAGGACATAGCTTCTTCGAGGGGCCAGTCGCTGTGCCTCACCTCTGGTCCCCTCCCCTTATGAACATCAGCAGTCTCTGCTCAATGCCGCTTGGGTAGACCAACGGCCTATCTCTAGGTGGCGGGCGCCAAGCTTGCCCAGGAAGGTACATGCGGGCAATCGGGATTGAACCCACGACCTCCTGAATGTCACTCGCCTTACCAACTTAGCTAACCCGCTGGATAATGATATTATCTTTTTTTTTTCTATTGCTGGCAGCAGCAGCCAATGGTTGTCCTGACAGGATAGGCCACCGACCCTAGCCATCCCCACATTAACACTCCCAGCGCACCCCCTGTCCCTACTATCCTACCTCACTGTGACCAGCAGGACCATCACCCTACCCAGTATCGAGGGCAACTTGGACCAGACAGCAATGACAAGCCGCAAGACTGGGCCACCCCCCCAGCCCTAGTGGAAGCGGAAGCCGACGAACCTTGCCGTATGGGAACTTCGGACGCCAGGCTCTTGCAATCTTCTACAGGCCCAATTCAGAGTGTCTACCCAGCAGGAGTGCCTAAGCAAGGCAAGTCGGTGCCCACGGACACATCCAACCGTCCTTCCCCTAACTTAGCCAAGGCTAGCCTAAGGGGGAACTCAGACTAGCCGGAGCGACTTATATCCCGACCCTACCCTAGAGCTAAGCCATGCTTGAGTAGGATGTGTCCGTGGGCGCCGGCTTGCCTTGCTTAGCACTCCTGCTGGGTAGACTCTCTGAATTGGGCCTGTAGAAGATTGCAAGAGCCTGGTGTCTGAAGTTCCTGTACCGCAAGGTTGGTCCACTGCCGCTTCCTCTAGGGCTGGGTTGGCCCAGCCCTGGTCCTTGTCACTGCTGTCTGGTCCACGTTGCCCTCCATACTGGTAGGGCGATGGTCCTGAGTGCTGCTCACTCTGAGGTACCCTATATTCTTCTCTCAACTGCACCTTTCACTATCTACCTACTACTACTCCTAAGCCTATACAGGGGACCCCTGCAAGCATAGCTACCTCCCACACATGCATGTTCCGCCCCGCCCTAATCGGTGGTGGTCAGGGAGTAGGGTGGGGCCGCCGGTCGGGGGCCCCCTCTAACGCAATGATATTATCTTTTTTTTTTTTTTTTTTTTTTCTTTCAATGATATTATCTCAAAGGACGTTGAACCGAAAGAAATAAACGCAAAAACGAACGAGACCTCTGCCCTACCGTAGGCAGCGTTTGAATGAACTCGACCTTTCCAATTCCCCGACCTCCACCGGTACCTCCATCGCTGAACACCATGGCCATCCGCCATGCCACGTCATCGCTGTACGCTATGCCACGTCATCATCGTTCGCCTTGCAGCCAATCGTGTTCGAGATCGTGTGGCTGCTTGACAGGAAATGCGGCAAAAAAGGAGCGGCAGTGTGTGCGACAGTCCGTGCCGCTACTTGAGGACTCGAACCCTTAACCTGTTGTTTGGGAAACCCCTGGCTAGGGGTCAGCGATGGAGCGCGCCGCCGCACGCTGCCGCACGATTGAGAACCGCCATGAAGATCTGCTTTATTGGTGGCATGAGTCATGGATCTTTATTCTGCAAATGACGGCGGGCAACGTGGAGATTTGCATTGTAGGACCATTTCTCGATTTATGCGTGTCATCCTTGAAAGCGCAGGGGCCATTTGCTAATTTACCCTTCTCTGTATCGTTCCAATTTTAACGGACGTCCCGAAGGACGAGCTTTGCATTGTGGTGCGCTCTTGATGGTAAGTTTTTTCAACTTTTTTGGCTGTTTTATTTATTTTTTTATGAAAAAAGAAAACAAAAAATGCGCAAAAAACGAACCAACGCTTTAATCTATTCCTTTCTCTCCCTTCTACCTTCCCGTTTTCTTTTCCGGGGAATGGCACAAATTCCGTTTTTTTTTTTTTTTTTTTTTTTTTAATTGCACAAATTGCGGTTTTACTAGAAAAGAAACTTCTGCTGTGTTGGTAGAAAATAGTAATAATAGATCTAGTTTGGTAGGATTTTTTTTTTTTTTTTTTTTTTTTTTTTTGAAAGCTTAGGATAGAAATATCACAGACAGAGTAAAGATTGGAAGAAGCAATTGAGTTCGAACTTGGAAATCGTTTTTTGAAGTGATAAATGGAGGGAGCTACTCAAATGCAGAGCAGTCGTAATTTGCAGTCAGAAATTTGGAGTTTCAGAGGAAAAGTTAAGTTTGTTTGTTTGTTTGTTTTTTTTGTTTTTTTTTTTTGTTTTTTTTTTTTTGAGGGAATTTTCGTAATGGGACATTGG